ATATTTACAAAGTTGCATTAATTCAAGTAATAACATGTTTAATTTAGCTTTTATAAAGTAATATAGTCGAATCTTATGTGTCTTTTACGCCTCTCTTTACTGAGTTCTGCATAGAATCAAATTTGTCAATTCTCAATTTAAGTACCTCTTCGAGTATTTAACTTAAGAAAAATAGCTCGATTTGATTCGGATCAGTTTTGGTTCGTGAGTTTTGCCCAGCCCTACCTTTAGTTAAGCTCTATTTGATTTAATTAAAATATAAATCAAACTCAATAATTAAATATTTTGTGAGATTCATAATTTTTAAACACATATTTCATCAAATTTGGTCAAATTTACTAAAATTTGAATTTTATCTAAACAAAAAAAGGCTAAATATCATAACCCAAATTTGCAACTTCAATTAGTTATATAATCGTATAACTGCTTGTTTGGATAAATTTATAAGTTCATTAGAACATTAATTTTAATCATACGTTCAACACTGCCATCCACTCATGATCTAAACATTTCATGAGACTCAATACTCCATTGTGAAATGTGACAAATTTACCCTCAATATTTTTTAGCATAATCCATAATCAATCTTTCAATTATGTAGCAAACTCGTCACTCCCTCTGTTTTGGCCATTAAATGACATATTTGATCTTCTTTTTAAGTAAAGAATAATGCTGAACAAACAGGGAAAAAAAAGACTAATGTGGCAGTCCATGATTGAGTGTTTTTCATGATTTGTTTCCTTCCAATTCTCCAATGAAAAATTGGCTAAGTGTAGCGTAGAAATGCTTTTCTGTCATTGACTTTAACCATCTAGCATGATTTTTAAATAAATAAATATAAAAGAAAGTAGTACAATAAAAAAAAATGAAAAATTGCACATAATAGTCATATAACTTTTCTAAACCCACCTGACTTTCGTAGCATTTTATTCCCTAACTTATTTTGCATGACATGTGAGCCCTCAACCAATTAAATACATTTTGGTTCCTCATAAGACAGTTTTCATGATAGATAGTATAGCATTTGACTAGCCTCCCGAGACATAGTCCAGTGGTGCAAAGGATAGAAGTGAGGTTATCTCACGTCTTGCTGACAGTCGTAGTGTGGGGGTTCGATTTCTGAAATATAGAATTGGACTCCTTGTAGGCACACTGTACAAGCATCTCTTGTTCTTTGGGCTGATGGGGCACATCTCGCGATTTACCTCCCTCACAAAGCTCTAAGGGTGGGGCGATGAGGGCCCTCAAAGTTAGGGTTCAACCTTTTTTTTTAGTATAGCATTTGACTTGTCACCATTTTTTTCCCCTATACGACTTTTGACCATTATTAATAACTTGCCAAGGATGTATGTCCTTTTATCTAACTTGCTTTATTTTTAATCATTTACAAGGACCGACCACTATACAGGGGCGACCCCTCATAGGGTCATATGGAGTCAAATGACCTCACAATTTTTTTGGAAATTTTTATTTTTATTTTTTAATATAACTACCCTCTCCAATTGCCAAACTCAGTTTCTCAATAGTAGCGCACACTTGTGAAAAGTCCAAATCCAATCACCATATCCATATCTATATCCATAATCTCGGATATTATTTCTTCTTTACATAATGAAATAATAAACTAAACTATATTTTATCAAAGAGCTATTATCCTTGTTTCGTTTCCATTTTATAAAACTTATTTTTAACAATACAATTAATGAAACCCACAACTTTTATGAACCTTTTCAATTACACATTTCATTTATTTTTATAAAACTCTGCTAAAAAAATTGATTTTTAGACAAAACAACAGGAATTATGTGTTATTTCAACATAAAATACAATAAGAACGACACCATAATGATATTGCATTCTATTGCTATAGTATTTAAACATCAATGATGATTTTGTAAATTTAACTTGAAATTAAATATCAGAATTTGCATTTATATTTGTATCGAATTCAGAACTTTCAACGTATTTCTGGTTCATTATATTTCTGATGCACGAAACATAGTCGGAGTTCCTTTTTTTTTTTTTTTATTTATTAAAGGAGCTCGAATAGGAGATGCACGAAACATAATTGGATTTTTTTTTTCTTTTTAAAAGGAGCTCGAATAGGAGCTAAATAAATGTACAAGGCAGAATTCTACAGTGTACAATCTCCAAGTTTCTGCAAATTCTTTGACAATTAAAAATTCAAGTTTATTTGATAAAAATAAAATTGAACAATTCTTGTATCTTAAAATTCTTTCCCAAATAAAAAATCAGTTTTATAAAGTACATACACTATTTTTCAATACTTCGAGTATTTACATAAAATACTCACACAAGCATACATAAAAGCAAATAAAAATCCTAATGACCAAATAAATAAAAAACTAAAACTACATGAATAATGACCAAATTAAATGAATACACTAATCGATCTGAAGAGTTATAACTATTTCTTGCACCACCACCAACAAGAACCAAAAAAATATTTCTCTAGGAACTAGGAAAAATACCAAAAAAAAAAAAAAAAAAAAAAAAAAAGGGAACAACACCAGAAAACATTCAATTTTTGTAAAACTGTTCATTCATCCAAACGCTGTTTCCTCAAGGATTAGGACTTTCATCTTCTGGTAAGGCGGGGAGGTTCAAGTCGAAGTCGTGAACCACGTGCCCATTGCTGTTGCAGTGACTGGAGGCGCCGCCGTCGGATGGGATCACATTGGTTTTCTTGCCGTTGCTGATGACGCCTTCATAGTGCCGCCGCATGTGGCCACCCAAAGCCTGGCCAGTGGAAAAAGTCTTGTAACATCTGTTGTATTCGTGAATCCTACCGCTTGTGATTGCAGCTGTGGCGACGAATTGAGCCCTATCGCGGTGGCTCGTTTTGTGGCCGCCAAGTGCTTGGTACGAGAGAAAACACTTGCCGCACACGTCACATTCGTGCGACTCATGTTTCTGGTCCACGGAAGAGGCTATGATTGCAGAATAATAAAATGGGTCCGTCGATTTCTTTTCATCACCGATGGAGGCAAAAGCGGACTTTGTTCTTTCACTAGTGCTAGCGACAGCGGGATTTACGTCTTCTCTGATTTCAGCGGCGGCTTGACTGATGGTTGGACAAGTAGCGGTGGCGAACTGAGAACAATCACTGTGACTTGTTTCTTGGTCGCCGAGTGCTTGGTGTGACTCCTGTTTCTGGGCCGGCGGAGGATAAGTTTCAATATCATTCATAACATTGACCAAGGCTGAAGCGGAGATTCCTGCTGTTGTTGTTGGGGCCGGCTTCCTCCATTCCCCCGTGGTGGTTGAACGGGTCCAGTAAGCATCGTCGCAGCGTGAAAGCCTAAGGAGGGCGAGGGCTGTGTATTCAACATCTGTTGGTTTACGATAAAAATGCGATCGCTTTCTTTTCTTGAATGATTTTAATCCTTCAGTAACCATTTTCACTGTGTGAAAAAAAATTGATTTGTGGAAGAAAGGAAGGAAGGAAGGATTGATTTCAGATTTTGAGAACTATAGTGTGAGAAGTAGGAGAGTGGTTGAATATATTTATAGGGTTTTCAGGGGTTGGAGTGTACTTAGGATTGGGATTGATTGAATATGGTAAGAAATTCAAATCGTAATTAAGGAATACCGTTACATATGTGGCATTATTTGATGAAATTTCCTTAATTGATATCTTTTTCTCTTCATTACAATCCTAACTACCGAAGATGACTTTATTCTACACTTGGCTCAATTGTTTCACTAATATAAATTTTCAATTTATGGAACTTTGGTATTCTTCTCATTTTGTATATCATATAAATAAAAATTAACTGGATGCTATATGATATTAAAAAATTAGTTTAGTCGATATGAGTTAAATTTGGATGCTTACAAGTTCAATTCAAAGCAACAAACAATTTCGGCACAAAACAAATTTTTCGACTGTTATTTAGCACATCATTGTACTTGAATCTTGTGACGTTCGTGTCATTTAGGCGATGTAAAATTTTTATTATAATGTGTTCATTTGCTTATTTTAACAAAAAAAGTTCTTCCATATTTAAAATTTTCGAATTCACTTGCTCTGTTGATCTCTTGATGTAATTTTGAACGTTAGGCTCGTGTTTTCCTCCCGCTTGTACTTTGATCGATAAAATATGATCGGGGAATCTAGACCTCCCCATTCCGTCTAGATTGAGGCTTTAAAGTCCAATCTATGCTTCTGATGGTTTATATATATATATATATATATATATATATATTATTTTAAATGTGTTCTTTATTTAGAAGGCTCCTTTTAAGCTAATTGACATTGTATTTACTAACTCGATAATAGTAGTATCGGAGACCCGACATGGAGAAGTCCTAGGAGGATTCAAAACTAAAAAGGCTAAATTGAAGGTCTAATGGCTGTATTTATTTTCACTAATGGCCTGTACTTGGTGGGCTATGTGTTCTTTATTTAGAAAGCTCCTTTTAAGTTGACTTTGTATTTGCCAACTCGGTAATAGTAGACTTGATTAAATAGATAAAAAGTGATAGAACATATATGTTATCGAATCCAATTTTAAGTGTCACATCGCAAGCTTCAACTAAAGCTACCATAAATATATATCCTATTTCTCTTTGTTAGATTATTATAGGAAAATTTGCACAATTGGTCAATCTACCATTTAAATACCAAGATAGATTCAAACTTTTGAGAAAGAGCAAGTTGATTCTAAAATCTAAATGACGTAAATGGGTCCAAACTTTGTTAAATAATAGTTATAATGTGGTTCTCAAGAATATTGTATTCTCCCTTCAACTTTCAAAGTGCCAATCCAAGTTGAAAAAAATAGATAAACGAAGGATCAATTAGCTCATTTTAAGTGTTGGTGACTTATGTGCTACTTGCTTAATAAGTTATGGACTAATGTTGCAATTTTCCCAATTTCATAATTGATAAGCAGATTCTTTCCTTGATGCTTCAAGAGAGAGATGATAGATTTTTATGCTAATTCTTTCACAATTATACGGTAAAATTTGTTCGATTTAATGATTCAATTTCTTGTACCAACAAAAACCCTACAAATTCTTTTCTAGAGATAATACATTCAAAATTCAGAACATATTCAATTTCTGGAGGCGCTGCACTCCGAAGTGATCACGCTGCTCTTATTGCCATCATAGTGCCGCCGCTACCACTTGGTTTGAGATCAGATACATTCGTGATGATGGAGTCTTCGGAGGCGGCGGTGTGGTGGGCGGAGGTCTACTGCGGTGGCTGGTTTTGTGGCCGCCGATTGCTTGGCATGACGGAAAAGACTTTCCGCACACGTCACGCTTGTGCGAATGCTTCTGGCACAGTGGAGTAGTGGAAGATGGTTCAATACCCATCTTGTACTCTATGGCTTTGATGGTGGTGGGAGTGGTGGTAATGCTGGCGGCGAGGGGATTGAATTCTTTAGTTTTGGCGGCGGCAGGAGTGGTGGTTGGAGTAAACCATCCTCTAATGGGATCTTCTTCATATGTGAAACCATCTGCTGCTATATGTGGATCTTTCATGATTTCCTGCAGATTTTGAAGTGGGGAAAAAATGAAGCAAAATGAGCAGGAAAAAAGTTGAACCAAATCATGGTTGACCAGTGCTTCAAACTTGTCTTTGCTCTATCAATATCGGGTCGAAATCCTCAAAAGTTTCACAAGAAAAGATCAAGTCCCTAAGGAGTTAGACCTTCATGAATGCAATTAGTAGTCTACTCATCACCCAAGAGCATCAAACCATTGCCTCGAGAACATACCAAAATCATCCAATCCCAGTATTGGCATGTTTGGTTGGGAGGATTGACCGATGTTGGATAGTATTAGGGAAGCAGAAACTTAAAACCTTGTTTGTGATTATCAAGTCGTCCTATTGAATACTGGTCACCATAAATATTTAGCCTCTGAAGGTAAAATTCTTGACAGCGCGACTTCAGACACCTTGTGCCAAGCAAGGTGTTGAAGAGAAAACTCATAACTAGAGCCACCATGTGTGAAACAAACATATGCAATTTAAGTGCCCCCAGGGCATATCTCCCAGTGGTAAAGGGGAGGGCGGATAGGGCTCAGCGCGGCAGTGTGCAGAGTTCGATTCCCCGCAAGGTGGAATTGGCTTTGTTGCAAGCGGGAGTTACCATATGGGTTAACAGTCTTGGCCTATCCATATGCTCTCCACCCTGGCTCCTGGGAGGCACATCCTGCGATTTACCTCCTCCACGATGGCCCAGGGCAGGGTCAGTGGGGGCCCTTAAGGTTGGAGTTCAACCTTTTAACATATGCAATTTAAGTTGAGCAACCACACAATGCATTATTACCTGAAATATCGGACAGACAAAATATGAAGGGATTCGGCGCTGGTCCTTGGAGTCCAACGATGATGAACAAGAAGTCGAGGATGACATAGTACATGAGTCTCGCATTGCCTCGAGTACAGCTCAGACTTCTGAAACGAGGTTCGGTCGTTCCGAAGCCTTCCTCTGGCAGCACCATAGTGCTAGATGAGCTAACTGCTTTGCTTGGTCGACTGGCCGATCCCCAGCTGATACGTCTAACACTTCATTCAAGTGTCCACTTTCGATAGCACATTTAACATCCCTCACTAAATCTAAGGCTGGTTTTGCAGTTAATAGATGTAAAAGTACAATTCCGAATGAGTAGACATCAGATTCAGCTGTTAACTTTTTTTCTTTACCAAATCTTTAATATGAGTCCATGTACGACCGAAAATATAACCCAAGAGAAAAGTATAATAAGATATAGATATTTTCTGGTTTAGGATTAAGCAAACGGAAAATCCTTCAATTATGTAATAATAGACTAAGAAACAAACTTTAATATGCTTCCCAGAGATAAACATAAGTAAAGAAATGAAACAGCATTCTTATATTTATCAAAGGTCACAGATTTATGTATTCTAAAAAAGCCTCGAGATGACTTGCAACAAAAATGGGGTACATAAAAATATATCCGATAGCTACTTCATGTTAGATCTGTGTCTTTGCACAACATTTATGAAAGCAGTAATGGGTGAACTCGCTAAAGTTACAAGAGAAGAGCTTGAATACCAATTTGCAGGCAAGAGTTCAAGATGGGGGCATCTTCAAAACTTGTCCTTTACCCTCCCAACTTCAAATCAGATGATCAACACAAAAACAATAGGATTTCCCTCTTTCCACAGAAAAGAAAGAGAAAAAGAAAAGTCTCATAATCCTTCCATCTCATAAATTAGTTAAAGCAGAAATTTTAATCAGAAGTTGTGGAAATGATAGATGAAGATAATTTCGAAACCATAAAATTTTCAATCGAATTTGAACCTTAATATTACTGAACATTGTTGAATTTTTCTGTAGAAATATGATATGAACTTGTGTTCTTCTTAACTATGTTCAAGAATTAATTATTTTTAGACAAAGTAATAGAGGACAAACAGATCGAATGGGGAAAGTGGCAATTGATATTCTTGCCATAGCATCAAACTTTGATGGTCAAAATTAAAAGAAGAAGCCATGATTAATACACAAAAAGTTGTGAATAGAAAACTTACCCTCAATCTATATTTGTATACGAGATATCCCCCGCCAGCAGCCATTGCCAATCCAATCAAAATAACCCAAACAGCAGCCCACGCAAATTTTACTTCACTAGCCCTCTTACCTGCACATACAAACAGTAATTGGATATGCACTGTTTAAGCATAAGCAAAGCAACAACAATTTGCAAGTGATCTCACTTATGCAGGTATCATGGTCCCGAATATACAACACTTCCCCGCTACAAGTGCAATCATTACTTCCGCATCTATCCTTGCAGCTGCATTCAGGGCATTGGCAGGCTTTCTTTTCTTTACATTCATCAATGTCTGTATGGTTAGAATAAATTATACAAAAACAGAGGTTAATAGGAAAACAATTTACATAGTTCAACAAGAAACGCTTGAACTGTTAGCTCCAGTATTATTGTTTCGCGCGGTTAGTCGCTAACAATTAAAAGGGATCAGACGATTGTGTAAGGGACAAACCTCTTGAGACAAAGTCCCAAAAAGGGGTGTTCTTTTATTGGCAATGACCTTACAATTGAAAATTAAAAACAAAATGCCTCCAAGGGGCGCAAGCACACGAGTTACTGAAAAAAGTGTTTAAGTCTAAGCTAAGGAATTTAAGATTACATGTTCTCTGTTCGAGAGTTTTTGATTCGGTCCTTTGCTCTATGTCTTTTCTCCCTTTTATACTCCATGGATGATCTCTTTGTGATCAACCGCCTAAAAACTGCTTGATCGTTCTACAACTGCCCACTTTTCTCGTAATGGCCAACTTGTCATGAAACTGCCTTTTTTAACTGCTGTCATTACTCTTTGTCGTTCAACCGTTTTCGATTGAATTTCTTGAATCATGGAACGTGATAGGACTGCTTTAATAACTGCACTTCTTGATAACCACAACACTTTATGTTTGCTAAGACCTTGGGCAACTTGAAGATTTGGGCGAGAATAGAGTAACAGCTCTGGGCGACTGCATGGCACTTCATTCGCTCAGATTCTGGGCGACTTGCAAACTTGGACAATGGCGTTACCGCGTTCTTGGACCTCTTTATTTGGGCCTTCATCTTGAATTGTTTGATTGGGCTTCGTTCTTTGGCCTATCTGATTTGGGGACCCTCCAATTGGGCTTCGTTCCTTAGGCCGTTCGATTTGGGCTGAATTTTTATGTGTCAACAATTACCCCCCAATATGGCAGAATTAATACCAATTATTAAATTTTGTCATATTCACTTTGTGTTTCCAGCAACATTCGAAATTTTCAAGAATTTCAATCATTGTTTTCTTCCATAACTTGAAAAGGTGCGACGTTTTGCAAACCCTTATAACCCCCAAACACGCCATTTCACTACACCATTAAATCACGCCTCACTTTTTCGCATCTCTCCCACGATTTATTGTTCATCTTTTGCTTCCCTGCTACGTAACTCTGAAAAAACTCCGTTTCATCCCTAATGGCTACTTCACAATCTCAAGCTGGCGACTCCTTTAGTTTTGATGACTTTCAGAAACTTCTGAATCGTCCATACATAACTCCGAGTTTTCTCGCGCCTGCCAATGTCGAACTCAATGAGTTCTACCTAGGTCCTTTCTTCAACAATGCAGAGAAAGTCGAACAGGCGGCGGTGGGCCAGCTGTTTCCTTGTACTCAAGGCCCTCCATTTCTAAACTCTCTACCGCTGGGGCCACTTCGCGAAAGAGGTATTCGCACTTGGCCTAAATTTGATGTAGCTTTCCGTAGGTGGCATGCTCGTCTTGTGGGCCATGATCCTACTAAGGCACTTTTTGATAATGCTAGGATTTCTGATTCGTTAGAAATCTCTATTCGACCCCTACTTTTGATTCAGCACTTTTTTCGATCGCTTTGAGTTTTTAGTCTTCCGAGTAGAATACCTTTATTTTCCCTCTTGGCCCCATATCTATTACTTTAAGGGATGTTGGGGCCCTAGTGAATCTACCACCTTTGGGCGATACCATTTTTCCTAGTATCTTGGGGTCTGGTGGCGCCCCAAAGTTTGGTAAAAACTACACCGAGTCTTATTCAAGCCTGCAAACCCTTCACAATCATTTGAGCGCTGAGCCTTCCCATACTGAGCGAGTGGCTTTTCTTCTAGTTTGGCTTTGTAAATGTGTTTTGTGTGTGCCAATCATAAAGCCCTCCCTGAGTTATTTATCCATAGCGCACGAATTGGCGCGTGGCAGGCTTTTGAATTTATGTTCTTTCTTTTTGGCTGCCCTTTATAAAGGCATGGCTTCTCTTCAAACTCAATTGAAGAATGGTGCATCTCCCACTGGTAATGGACCTCTTTGGTTCACTCAATTGTGGTTGAGATCCTATTTTCCATTGCTTGGTGCTCCATCAATTTCTCGCTCCTCTGCTAGCTACTATGGGCTAGTCATTGAGCCCTTGGCTCCTGTAAATATGTCTAGAAGGGACATTTTTTCATTCTTTTATTCTTTGGATTCAATCCCTTCCTTTTTTCCTTTTCCTCCTTTTTTGACTCCAAACTATGTGCATCCCCCCTCCATTATAGACAGCGCGAGCACCTCCCTGCTCATTTGGATCCAGTTTTTAATCGGGGGTTATTTCATGACATTTTAACTGGGATCAATGCCAAGGCAGGGATAGAAATTTATGCTCCCCAATTTTTTGCTCGCCAACTTGGTTTCGGCCAAACTTGGCCTGTTCCTCCTTGCTATTCAAGGAACTTGATTGATCGCTTTCATATTATTAATAAGGCGGAGGCAGAGGCTATAAATGCTCGCAATCTTCTTTTAACAAGCTATTTTTCATTAGCCCCCCTCAATTCTAGCCACGTCATCCATCCTCTTTTTGAACAGCTCTGACCGTCAGTGAAGCGCAGATTGTTTGCGACTGTTGCCAATCGTGCCTTTCATTCACTGGACAGCCGAGCATTTCTTCTCCTCCTCCTGTTTTAGTCACTCCTTTGTCCATCTGGAGTCCTTCTCCTCCTCGTCACGCTAAGCAATCTACTCGTCCATATTCTTCTCTCCCTGCCAAGCTTACTACAGCCAAGAGTGCCCCAAACCGCAAACGGCCAGCCTCAGCATCTCTCATTCTGGAGGATGATGTTGATGATGATGATGATACCCCTCTTATCATCAGGAGGAAGGTAATTAAATTGGTTTACTCACAAGCATACTTTTCCATACTTGAAACTTTTCTGTGTGCTGATAATTTATTTGGATTTCTCAGAAAAGTTCAGCTTCTCCTTTAAAGGCTTTGACATCGGCAGTTCCGCTCCCTCATCTTCCGCTGAGGCTGCTTCATCCAAACCGGTTGATGAGGGGACTACGCTTAAAGAGACATCTTCAGTCCCAGAATCCTCATCACAACCCATGGATGAGCCACCTTCTTCTCAAGGCGTCAACCCCCCAAACATCGAAATAGAAGGTAATTCAGTTTTTTGATGCTTTACCTTTGCTTGTGCTATTTGTTTCTGATTTGTTGCTTTTGAGTTCTGCAGATACTCATATGAGTCTGCCCATTGTGGCAACATCTTCTCGCTCAGACAAGGGGAAGTCCTCACGAATGGAGGAGTCACATGTGGTAGATTTGGCTGAGGATATGCCATCTTCCACGATTGTTGATGAGGTAATCTTTGCTTCACTTTTATTTCCATCTTGTTCGTTGTATTGAGAATCTTCAATATTGGCAATTTTCTTTGCAGGATGCTGACAAGATTGTGCGTTCTATCCAAGACTTGTTCACTTCCTGGGGGCAAGTCAAGACATCTCGCCCTGCTCCATCTGATCGTCATGCTGCTTCTTCAAAGGAAGATTTGAAGTTCCTCAAGCAGTCAATATTTGAGTACGTGTCCTTCATGGATATGGACATTGGTAGGGCTAGTACTGCCAGATACAAAGATAAACTTGAGC